AGGAATGGGACAGATCTCTCCTGACTATTGACCATAACATTTAATGTATTTGGTGATATGTTTGACTAATCATTGGGTCCTATGAAACAAACTGATTATTCTTGTGACTCTGAAGGTAAATTAATCTTGTCTCCATAGATTACAGAAAGTGGATTCATTTCTTACCCCATCCAGGCAGCAATTTTTTGTTTAATTATTAATTTTGTGTAGTTAGGAGGCAATGCACATGCTTAAACTATTTCAATTTCAAATGTAACATTTTGAAGCCAAATCAAGAAACCATTTTCATAGTAACACATAATATTACTACCAATTAATTACAGTTTTCTGAGTTTCAAAATGTATTTCCTTTTCACAAATCCAGGGCCCATAATCCATGAATAAGGGAAAAAATCCCTACGATCTCATGAACTCTAGCACAGCTTTGTCTAAACGCTTGAATTGTTTTTTTCTTGGCAGCAGTGACATTGTACCTGCATTAAATATTTTGGTACTAGAATTTGTGAAAGGCTACTGTATTTTTTCATTCAATCAAATTCCATATTGACTAGTGAAGCGTGCACTGGAGACCTTAAGATATGGACCTATGTTTATATAAAAGGGAGTGCTCTTTTCCCTTCAAAAATACATCTGTGCGGGGTTGTTATGTATTTCTTGATGCTCCTGCATAGTTCAAGATTGCTTTTACTATTTATACCTGTAACTTGAATTGTAACAATTGCTATGACTTTCTGAAATAAGAGGTACATCAGGGTCAGTGATAGTTAATTAGAGCTAAGGCTTCTGAGGAAACCTACATTAATTTTTAGGCAAATAGATGAAATGGCACATATTTGCCTCTGGGTTGGATCTGGTTGTAATTATTATATGCTGACTAAAGAACAGGAACAGTTGAGCATGGATTATGACTAGAGTATTGCAAGAATATACTCATAATTACTTTGACTAAAAACTGTTAATTGATTTAGATGATATTCAAAAACCCCTTATTTTCATTTGGTGAGGCCTCCCAGCAGTGAATCCTTCTGTACAAGAACATCTGCAGACAAATGAAATATTATGAATACTTGTGTATTTGCACATGTATTCATTTTGAATGTGTTATGTGGCATCTTGAAAACTCTTTGTTGATTTGGAAGTTATACAATCAAGGAGGAGAAACAAAGAAATATGCCTTAGGTAAGAAATCACATAGCTCATAATTGGCAATTATGAGTAGTGAATGGTCAAAGCAATAATCATTGAGAATAATTTGTAAGAAATCCATGGGATGTAATACATTTATTTAAACCATATAATGAATACTTTTTAATAATAAACAATATCCAGATACCAAGATGGTATAAATTGGCATAATTCCATTAACCTTCATAAAGTTGAAAATTTACTGACAAAAAAAAATAAGCTGAGGATCTGGCTCAGAATTTGTACAAAGTTGATATGTGCTGGACAATGAACAGAAACTATAGATCTGTATAATTTTTGATAGAAGATATTCATAGAACTCTAAGTATACCTCACTGAGATTAAAGAAGTCCTGTTAAATGTCACCCAGAAGAAATAGACACCTATCTTTGTAAAAAAAACCAGAAGACGTCAGTAAATTGCGGTATCCTGGAAACCATACACACGCAATATCATATCAGCTGTCTCTCCCTTTCAGGAATATATCATGTATCCAGTTTTCTCTCCCCCAGAACCTTGGACAGCAACTAGTTCTGCTAAATTAAAAGGGAGTGTCATCATTCTTCCCTTTCCCTTGGTATTTATATGCATCTCTACTATGAGTGTGAGTTTGTTGCTCATGAAGATAATAGTATTAACTACAATAAGCCATAATGCAGGTCCACAACCACTGCTTTCAGCATCTTTCCTTTGCTGAGCAGTCACTGATTTCCATATGAATTGCACAGACATACAGATAAAGAGAGAGAGAGAAACAGAAAGAGATTAGAATTGTAGATAAGCACATGAACTGATTTTAAAACCTCTCTCCCTCACACACCCACTGATGTTACCACAGTAATTTATAGGTGGAGACATCCTTAACTCTACATTTCTTGGGTGTAGTTGGTGTACTAGAGGTCATTTTTTGCTTTGATAAAATCCTAAAGGGAAGACTAACAATCAGAAACTTAGCATTGTGTGGGAGTAGTGAAACATGGGACAGAAAGAAGAACAACATGTAATTCGTAACAAATGTTCTTAAAAATAATATAAAAAGGTGAGTGCTTGCAATAAACCTTAAATTTGTTTCTTTCTTTTACAATGGATAAAATCAGTAAAATTCTATCAAATCTAATGAAAAATTAATCCTTTGTTTTGACTGTCTGCAGTTATTGGCTATATATACACCTGGAAGATATACTATGGTTACAAGACAATTATCTTGCTTATCTCTCTTCTCGACAGTACAGTCCAAATTTATGAAATGTACACAAAATTACATTTAATTAGTTGACTTTAACATATAGGAAGTTACATGCTGAACAGATTTCTACTCCATATCATAGTGATATTTGCTATGTATATCTAAGGCATATTAAGCATCACACACTGATTTGTTGAAGGTAAAGGTTATTACATTATTAATTATAATGAATAATGTAGTATAATTAAATATTAAATAGAGATCTGTAGTTCTATGCAGCTGCCAAGAGAGAAGTGAGGAAAATACAAGGAATTGCTTAAGATCACCAAAGGAAAACCTCAGCTGGGAATTGCCACACAGCCACCAATAGGTGACCTCCCCCCTCATATTTGTTGTCTTCTCATCACCAATTATCTCTGTTACAAATACTAAAATTGCTGAAGTTTATTTCTAGCCATTGATATCATTGTAAATGTATGCTATGAGTTGTCATGTTGATGGGGATCACTTGCTTTGAGTATTCAGCTATTTCAAAATCCATCTTACTTTCTCTTCGCAGCATCCCTTAGAACCAGTGATCATTTACTCTAAGATACTACCCATGCTAAAGTAAGACTAACAAAGCCCCCAAATGAAATGGAGTATTCTTTTATAGTATTCACCATAATATTCATTCTATATGTTTTTCTTTTTATCATGGCTGCTTTCCTAATCTTTTGTCATAGCTATAGTCCTTAGGCTTTCTATTAACATCCCAATCTCTTACGAAACATCCTCCAAACTGTAAATATCCTGCCTCCAAGATTGTAGCCTAGATATCAGTCCTATATAACTTGACCTTCGGAAAGTCCCCCTTACATGGTCCCTGTCAAGTGCACTTTTAATCAGGCTCCTCTAGCTGGAACAACCCAATAGTTGATGCAGCAGAGCATGTTGTTGTGCTAGCTAACCCCCATAATTTCTCCCCACAGGAAGCCTCGTGTGCTTATGTGCTCATAGTGACAGCTGTGTACTGGGTCTCAGAAGCAGTACCCCTCGGCGCCGCTGCACTAGTGCCTGCTTTCCTCTATCCACTGTTTGGAGTGATGAAGTCCAGCGAGGTCAGACCAAAGCATACTTTTTATCATTTCTTCTTCCACTATGTTAACTATTTGCAACAAATAAATCTTAGCAGAGTAACAGGGCTAAGGGTTTGTGTGGGGAGAAAAAAGGCTCAGATCTCTCCTACGCAATGCTTAGGCCAATTTTTCAAAACTATGGCAGGAACAGTCAGAGGAATGGCTATACTAGATCAAAGCAATTGTCCACAGGATCCAGTGACCTGTCATGAACAATTCGCAGTACCATCTGCTTCAAAGGAATCCTGCAGTAAGCACTCCTGAGTTAGTCTTTCCTGGTTAGTTAGAGGTTGCCTTATGTCCTGAAGCATGAGGCTATGAATCCCTTCAAAAATTGATTTTAGGATTGATGTTTAGTACTATGATGCTAGCTAGCCTTGCTATCCCTATAAATGTTTAATCCTTTTTATGAATCTTGGCCTCAGTAATGTCAGCAACGCGTTCTACAGGCTAAATGAATGTTACAGGAAACAAAATGTTTTCTTTTGAATTTGGTGACTTTAATTTTCATTGAATGTCATCTTGCTTTTTATATTATGAGACTGGGAGTTTTTATTCACCCCATTTACCTTCATTATAGGGTTTTTCTTTTGCTCGTGTTCTCAGCCTGAAGTCATATTCAGCTTATTAAAGCTAGAAGTGCAGACAGAAATACAGATCACAATTTACAATGATGACATAAGAAAAGTGTTGATTAATCAAGTGTAGTACAAGACCTGAATATAAACCGATAAAGTGAAATGTACAGTGTGAGAGAACAGCTCTGTAAACTGCCTCATTCATCTCACTGGAACAAGAGCCTTGCTATATAAAGTACATTTCCTTATCAACACTGTTCCATATTTCAATGACAGTTCTTTTAACACTCAGGTTTTCTTCTTGTTCCACAAAAGCAGCCTGCCTGCTTCCTATACCTCCTCAAATGGCAAAAGCCCAATTTTCCCTTTTGCAACCTTCAAACTCTTTGCTTCCCTGAAATTGTGTAAAGTAAAATAAAATAAAATGGTTCTGTATTTACAGTACAAGATTCAACACACTGAAACTATAACATGTAGGGTCAGCTGAATACAAATTATGTTTAATTTCAATGTAAGTAATGGTGGGGATACTATAAAGATTACTTTATTCATTTTCAGAAATAAATTAAAAAGTTAAAATTAAAATAACAGCATCTGATAATAATGCAGACTTCTACTCTGCTTCATGGAAGCATCATAGAAACCATGGACTCCCACTACGCAGGTTAAGCCAAAGGAAACTCACAAGGTCATATGTGTATGAGTCAGAGTGTGTCTGAGTTTTGTGTGTATGTTTATAAGAACAAAAAAAAAATGCTTATAGGACCATTAGTATTCACTAGTTTCCCTGAAAGACTATGAAAGGGATAAAGGGGAACAATTAAATCTTTGTGCTGCTGGCTAGATGGATTCCTTTCATTCAGTTTAAGAACTTTTTTATTAAAAAAATTTGAACAGGGTACTGGGAAAATAAAGAAAGTTAATGAGTCAGAAACTAGTGGAAGAAAGCCAAAAAAGTGATATTTAAAAGTTTTGGCTAACAGTCAAAACAGCCGAGTCCTTTTTTCTCGCCATGGGGTTTTGCTAAATAAATATAAATAAATAAATAAATACTTAGCACTTAATATAGTACTATTTTTATGAGATCCTAGCAAGGGAATTAGTATTATTCTCACACTTTTATAAAGAAGGTACATAAGGTACTAAGAACAATGAAAAAAAATTCTGGCCCCACTGAAATCCTCATATTGATTTTGATGAGGCCAGGATTTCATTCCGTATTTTCCAATACAAGCACCTATCCTTAATTCTTAGTTATTTATTGATTTTGGGCTCTGAATTCCTGGAGATTGCCAAAACTTGGAAAGAATGAAGGCTTTTTTTCACATATAATAACCAAAACATGATAGCTAATGCATTTTAAAAGTCTAGTGTAGCCAGGGAAGTTGTCACATGTGGGTGGGTCGAAGTAAAGCCCTTTCTCCTCAGTCTTTCATTTCAAACATCCTACTATAGCCATCACCATTTTGAAAACACACCTATGCCTTACAGTGGAGGAGCCCTTTGATTTGGTTTAACAATGTGAGCTGCAGTTGCCCAGCATATCTGAAAACTAACTTCTTAATATCAATTTAGGTGCATAACTTTAGGTAGTTGAGTTTGATAATTTAGACCACAGGGACTTACCCAGAACCCATATTGAAAATCTGTGGCTGAACCCAAAACAGAGCCAGGCTTTTCATTTTTTGTGACTTGGATTATTTTTTTCATATTATATTTTAAATGTGGAGGGGAGGAATAGATTCAGAGATTCATAGATTGTAAGAGGCTGGAAGGGACCTTGCAAAATAATCAGATTCAGCCCCCCTGTACTATGCAGGAAAGACAGCTGGGGTCAGGTGACCCCAGCGAGGTGACTGTCCAGCCTCCTCTTGAAGATTTCCAGGGTAGGTGATTGCACCACCTCTGGAGGGAGCTTATTCCACAGTCTGGACACTAATTGTGAAGAAGCTTTTCCTAATGTTGAGCCTGAAATGATCTTCCAGGAGTTTGTGACCATTACTCCTGGTTTTACCCAAAGGTGCCCTGGAGAACAGTTGTTCACCAAGCCCTTGATGTAGCGATAAGCTGCGACCAAGTCTGTCTCAGCCTTCCCTTTTTTAGGCTGAAGATGCTCAAGTCCCTCAGCCTTTCCTTGTATGACTTGTCTTGCAAGTCTCTGATCGTACAGGTGGCCCTTCTCTGGACTCTCTCAAGCTTTTCCACATTCTTGTTGAAGTGTGGCACCCAGAACTGGATGCAGTACTCCAGCTGCGGTCTCACCAATGTTGAGTAAAGCGGAAAAATCACTTCCTTGGTTTTGCTTGAGGTGCATTGATTGATACATGCTGGAGTATTGCTTGCCCTGCTAGCTACAGCATTGCACTGATGGCTCATGTACATACTATGGTCTATTATTACCCCTACGTCTCTTTCAGTCATGGTGCTAGTCCGTTTGGCACCATCAAGCCTGTAAGTATGTTGGGGATTGTTCATCCCCAGATGGAGCACTTTACACTTTTCAATGTTGAAATTCATCTGGTTCTGATCTGCCCAACTTGCCAGCCTGTCTAGGTCTGCTTGAATCTACAGCCTATCTTCAAGTGTAACCAGGCTCCCCCATAACTTCTTATCATCTGTGAACTTGGCTAGTGAGCTTTTCATCCCACATCCAAATCAATGATAAAGATGTTGAAAAGCACTGGATCAAACACAGACCACCATGGGACGCTACTGGCCACTTCTCACTAGGACAACACAGATCTGTTCATTAGAACTCTTTGGGTTCTGATGACGTCAATATGGCCCAATACATGAAAAGCTGGGCTCAGACTAAATTTCTGCTCTGTTCTAGACTTTCTGGGAGATGAGTAACTTAGGGTAAGATTCACAAAGGAACCTACACACATAAAATGGACACAAATTAAGCATCTCAGTCCAAGAGAGCAACCTGGGCCATCCCATTTGAGCAGCTGAGACAGGCAGGGAAATTCAATTCTGGCCAAAACTGACTGAGGTGTCTAAAATTCATCTCTAGTACATAGCCAGAGGCTCCTCTCTCCTGCCTAAGGCTCTTTGGGATTCTGAAACTAAGCATCCCATATTTGAGCTACCCTAAAAACAACTGACAGCATGAGTTCAGAACTCCCACCCATTTTCCTTAAAAAGCACAGCAACAGCAGCTGCTAATGGTGCCACTGCCACACAGCACAATAGCCTAGTGATGATGATCCATCAGCCAAGATAATGAGACACTTCAGTTCAAATCCTCACACTGAGGGGATTCAAAGTCATATCTCTTATTCCTTCACCAAAGGTGTAGGGATAAGGCCAGGCTGAGGGCCCATTCCTCTTGTTAAAGTTGGGCTACCATGCAAAAATAAATACAAAAGTTGTGGGACCAGATGGCACCAAGCAAGAGGGTGCTCTGTGAGCAGGGCACGCTCCTGGCTAGGAGACAGTTCTTGCTCCTGTAATTACTTACCATTTTTCAGTAGACAGTCATTAGATATTAGTCATAAGCAACATTCTATGCCTCAGTTCCCCATTTGTAAAATGGGATTAATCATTCTTCCTTACCTCGTAGGGATGTACTGAGGGTAAATGCATTAGGATTTTGAGGTGTTCAAATACTTTACTTACAAGGACATAAAATGGAGGCATGGACAGCTCATTCCAAATCTGATATATTGGGCCAGATTGACTTCATAAGCTAGCACAAACCCCAGTGACCTGTACAAATGTTAATGTGGATGTTCTGTGTGTGTTTCCATGGGAATTCCTTGGAGGCAGTTTCTAAAGAAATGATTGGTAGCATCAGACAAGATGTTGAAGGACATGGTGTTATGCAATACCACACTAAATTAATACCCCTAAGTTTTTCAGGATCATTTGCAACAGAAGATTAACCAAGCATTAGAGACAAGAAGAGTCTAGTAGGGAAACAGAACAGAAGTTAAACAAGGTGAATGTGTTATTCATTGTACTGGCCTACAAAATCCCCTAATAGCTTTTAATAAAAATCATAAGCACTTACATACTACTTTTCATCTTCAAAGAGTTCTAAAATACTAATGACTTCTAACACCACTTTAGTATATGCAACCTATATATCATTTAATCATTATTGTGTATTATTTTTAACCCTGTCTTATAGATAGAAAGGCAATGGACCAATCCTAGGTGTCCCTGAATGAACGTGCTGAGTAAAGTATCTTTTCTGGCAGAAACAAACCACCAAGCAAGACTAGTATGCCCTTGAGAATTTGGCAGTTGGATCACCTAGTCTACCTGGCAGATGATCAATCAGACTGAAGTGTTCTACCCCATGTGCTTGTTAGTGTCTGGAAATAGGTGTTAAGGGACCACGCACTGATCCGTTCAGAACTAAGATTTACTGGGCATGCCTACACATGTGCATGACTGTGCAGTTGTTACTACACAGTCATTTATTACTTCTTAAAGCAAGTACTAAATAACTGCACAGTAACTGCTGGTACTGCGCAGTTGCGGCACCATGCAGGCCATTTCCAACCCTGCTGTGCTGTAGCTTGTAGAGTAGTGACAGCCTCATGGTTCATGCTTACCAACATTATGTCGCTGTAGCAATGAGCTATGGTGCTGTAGCTCGTCACTACGGTGACATAGCATCTTGTGTAGATGCACCCACTGTGTATTCCTAGCACTCTATGAAACATTGTCTTCAGCTGGCCTCTGCAAAGACCACAACTCAGATATTATAGCTATGCACCCAACACCTTTCCTGGTATGACACAGGACACAGCTTGTCTAAGAGAACTGAGTTCATGTCACAGCAAGGGTTTCAATTTTACTACATAAGCCTTGATAATGATGACTGCACCTTCCCAGCATGCTTTCTGTGAGTAACTGTCACTCCGAGTTCACTTCTCTCTCACTTGCCTTCCTATAGGTAGCTGCAGAATATTTCAAGAACACAACTTTGCTCCTCCTGGGAGTGATTTGTGTGGCAGCTTCTGTAGAAAAGTGGAATCTACACAAGCGGATTGCCCTGCGCATGGTCATGATGGCTGGAGCAAAGCCAGGCATGTGAGTGAATCCTCTGCTTTTGACTGTTGACAGACTCACAGGTCAAGAGCAAATCATAAGTCAGTTTATCCCTGTAAGCTTGTTCAAAAGCAAATTATGATATTACCCACAGTGTGTCTTCTCTTCCAACTGAGTACCCTAATTCAAGCCTGGAGAATCTTTTGTTGGGTTGCAAGACTAGGAGTTTTTCCATCCTGTTTCTATCTCTTCTGTCTTTTTCTTTGTTTCTTTACCTCTAATATCTGTTTGTTCCACCCTAATATGAAAAGCTGTAAAAGTGCACCCCCAGACAGCTTTTCCCTTCTGTGTTTTAGGTTACTACTTTGCTTTATGTGCTGCACCACCATCTTATCCATGTGGCTTTCCAATACATCTACCACAGCCATGGTGATGCCAATTGTAGAGGCAGTGCTACAAGAGCTGGTGAATGCTGAGGAGGAGTGTGAGGTCATCAGCACTTCAGGCAACACCATTTCTGAAGAGAAGGAGCCAAACGGTATATGAAGATAACAGTAATTCTCTTTTTAAATGAGGCAGATCCTTGGCTGATATAAATTGGTATAGTGCCATACACAGTTTTAGCTATCTGTTTTATATCAGCTGAGTATCTGGTTCATGCTTTTTATTTTCATTTATTTTATACAGCAACATTTATTTGACAGCTTCAGCGATAAGTGACTGGATAAATAGAGTCAGCAGGTTTAAGCTGAAGGGAAGATAGTTATGAGCTAAGGAAAAATTGGTGTTTGAGTAACAGGTATTCAGAGATCTTATAGTCTGTATGTGGTCAATAAGAGGGAGTACAAAATAAAGGATGAGAAAGCATTGGGAAGTCTCTTAAAAGAAAAAGAAAGGAAAAAAGAGATATTATGCCTCCTTTTGGAGCATACTGAATGTTATCTTCAACTTATATTGGGATATGACTTACCCCAGGGTCTAGAAGCCAGGCCAAGGTCTTTTGTCATATTTCCCTGGATACTTCCTGTTAAGGATGAGTGCCACTTTGAACTTAAAGCAAGAAGTCAACCTCCTCTGCATGTGTGAAAAAATAGCCTCCACAAATGTACAGCACCAACTTTTTGAGTAAAGAATGATTTTTCTCGTTATTAAGATCTTTGTGGAAATTGGATACTTAATTTATTAAAGGTCTCACTTTTAATTCACTATGGTTAGGAACAGACATTGCATTTATTCCAGAACAGAAATGTCCCAGTGCTGGTGTGTAGATACATCACCTTTCCAATCAGGGTTTAGTGAGCAGCTGAATGCACTGCTCCTTTTCTGCCTTTGATTCAATGATGCAGTCCCAGGACAACCACTGAGATACACTTTTCAATATCTCAGAACAAACTGTTAGCACTTCTTATCCCATGAACTTTGGTTCTGGGACAACAGACATGGACATCTGAAATGACTGCACTTTGTCCCAGGAAAAAATGGTTTCTTCTGGGACAAATGTGACTTCTGTTTATTGCCTATAATTTCTAAACCAATTAAGATATTTATTTGTAAATACTCAGAAGAATAACTCTGTTCTCAAAGAGTAACTCCTGTAACTTTAGGGAAAATGCATTGTGTAAAGGACAAAGAAGCTAAATGCTTGGTTTTGGTGCAAAGCTTAACAATGGAGCCCACTATCTCTGTCACTACAACCAAATGGGGTTGCAACATCAGCAGATGGGGTGGCAATAAACATGCCCCCTTAGATTTCTGCACCCACAGCAGGGTGCAGGGCTGCAGCTGGGTCAGACCAGCCCCAGGCAGCAGCCACCTTAGTGACCTATTTGGTGGGAATCATTGTGGGAGGAAGTGCTGCACCACCATGGCCACCAAGGTGAGGCATGGCAGCACCAGCAGTGTGCAATTGTGACCATGCTGCTGCTGGGTGAGCTGTGGCAGCACGGTGTCCCTCCTTCTCATGCCGGATCCTGCCCACTGGGCTGTGGAGCCCCCGGGGGGAAGGCAGCAGGATGGGGAGCCCCAAGCTTGCAGCAGGCAGCCTGCATCCTTCCCCCCATCATGGGCTCCACTCCAGCAGCGCTGTTCACAGGGGAGGGGACGGGGTGGCGGGGAGGAAGCCAGGCTCTGCACTCTGTTCCAGCTGCAGCAGCTGCCACCTCCCATGGGTGGCAGCTGTGGCTTGGGTGCTGCTGGGGGAGAGTGGGGCAGGAGATTGTGGGCCCTGACCCCGGGGGGCTGTGGGTGGGGAGTGAGGGGCACCCAGGGTTGTGGGGGACTGTGAGTTAGGAATGCAAGGTCATGCTGAGGAAATGGGGTCAGAATTGGGGTCAAGCTGAAGAAAAGTTTGGGAAGCAGTGCTCTACAATATATTACTTAAAATGCTTTTGGACAATGTGCATCAGAGGGAAATAGCTTATCTTCTGATATCTGGGAGTTCTTCTGTATAGGAGATGAGGGGCACAGGGGTTTCAGTCACTACCCAACAGGGTTAAGGTTGTTTGGGTATCTGAACTGTGTGCCTTCCAATTGTTACATGGTTGTATTTCCGTTAATTTATTCCTGACTGAATTTCCTGGTTTGTAATATTTGATTCTGGAATATTTGGCAAAATGCTTCACAATTTTGCTTAAGGCAGCCTTTTTTGTTCAGGAATTAATAAAGGAAAGTCCTCATTCATCATCAAAATGCTTCCAGTACACCTATGCACAGCCCAGAGGCATGCACATATGCAAAGCCCAGAGGCAGGGAAGCAAAAGTGTAGGTAGGCTGCTCAGGGACCAAAACAACCCCTGCATCATATTGCAGAAGCTGATCTAACTTTTAGCAGTGCTTCCCCAGCAGCTTATGAGCAGCTCTTTAACCTGTATTGAGTTCTGGTAGTTTGCCCCCATCATAGCCCTTTATGCTAAAGTTTGGGATAGGGCATCTGCAAGACAACTGATGGCTGTCCTGCTCAGTGTCTGTGCCAAGGGATTTCTCCAGCAATTAGCTAAGGAGCTTTATGCTGCAATCATCTTTTTAGAGTTGGCTTGGGAGGGGAAATCCCTCCTTTTGTTTAAATATGAAGAGCTCCCAGATGAGTACTAACCAGATCCAACTTAACTTAGATTCTGATACCTAAGCCCGATGCTGTTAAGGTCATTCACCTGATGCCACCAGGTGAATTAGTCTGTAATGATCAGCAGATGAATCAGATCACTGAGCATTGGGAACTGTTCACTGAAAGTTGTCTCTGCTTTCTTTTTACCATAGTTTCTCCACATTCATGGTCACAGCTCTAGACTAAGACTTTTGGGCTCTTCATCTCCTTCTCTCTCTTTTGTTATTGCAGGTCTCAGCGAAAATCACGGTCAAACTTCACTGGAGCTCATTTTCATCAATGAGGAGTAAGAATGAATCCTGTCCATCACGACCGGAGATTTGAACCCTACACAGGTTGCAATGAGATGAACACAGGAATGGAGCCAGGAAGGGCAAATAGAAGCTTATATATGGACATTTTAGAAGAGTTTGAGGGGACAATTATTTAAAAAGTTGGGTTAATAGAATGGTTTTCTTTATTTAACACCATAGCTATGTTGAAGGGGAAGTTAAGTCTCTCTCAGGGTATAAATTCTTTAGCAGTTTTGTTTGTGAATCCATCATGAAGAGACATGAACAGATTCAATCTTTTGTTCCACTATAGGTACAGGTGATGAAGGGGTTTTAAAAACTGCATGAAGTGTTTGGAGGGAGTGGGTGGAAGGGTAAAGGGGCCTCAGGTTTTGTTGTGATAGGATTCAGAATAGAATGGCGGATGATAAGAAATGCTTAAGCTGTCACGTGCTTGATCTTTAAATAAAGGTCATTGAAAGATGAGGAAAGGAAATGGAGAAAAAAATATAACCTTAAGTGAAAAGGTTGAAATTTGCAAATTTCTAAACAAACTCTTCACTTGGCTAAAAGCAGGAAGAACCTTTCCTGTAATGTTTTCCTCATCTGTTTTTCACATCTTAAAAATGAGACAATGTTTGAAAAAGTTCCACCAGCTCTGCCTGCATGTTCTCGGTCAGTACATAGAATGTGGCACAAAGCTAAGATGTGGGATAAAGTGCTAAGTATCATCTGTCATGTTGAAAGATAGTAAGTCTCAATACAATATACCTTTGCTTAAAAGTATAAGTAATAGTATAAGTTTTATACTTACTATTGCTTAAAAGTAATGCTAATCATACCAGTAATGCTCTCAGCTACACACTCATCTCTTAAACGTATCCTGATACTAGACTGGTGCATATTGAAAGCTATGCATCAGCATTTTCATTAGCATGGAACTGAATTCCCCTGTACTCTGTCCTGTTTATTACTTCCCACTTTTTTCCCCCATTTATCTGTGCTGTACAGATTAAGCTCTAAGATGATGGTTTCTCACTTATACTCCTTTTCTGCCCTCTTGAAAATTATATATTTGGATCTTTCATAATA